TTGGCTTACATACAATTCATACACTAGTTAATCTTGATGTAGGTATAGCACTAAACAATTTTTTTACAATAACAGCATGATAAAGAATTTGGGCAGTGCCTTAAAGCTTGAGGCAAAACAATTAAAGAAAGTGTTTAATCTTCTTGGCATCACAGAATTTCACTTTAAAACCCAAGGGCATGCAACAGCACAATAGCTGCAAATATTGAATTGTTACTAAGAGTGTAAAAAAAAAGTCTTCTACGAAATATACTTTACTTACCAGAACACCACTGACAAGCATCATCTCGAACATGATAGGGAGAAGATTAAACACCAAAGCACTCAGGACAAAACTGATACCTCTTGTCCCTCTGTCAATAGCTTTAGATAAAGCTCCTGTCTGTCTGCTCAGGTGGAAGCCAAGATCCAGGTTATGAAGATGAAGAAAGACATTTTTGGCTATTCTTCGGATTGAATTTTGGGCTACTTTGCCAAATACTGCATTTCGAACTTCATTAAAAAAGGCAGCTCCAGCTCTTGATACACCATCTAACAATATATTAAAGAGAAAAAAATGAAGTGTAAAACATTAGAATCACAAGAACACAAAATGGCAAAAGCTCAGAAAGTAGACAATGAATTATTCAGTCAAATATATCACAGTATGTTTACACTTAAAGAAACCTGAGAAATTATCTACACCTAATTAATACTAATCTTTCCATTATCATGAATCTTTTTCAGTGTTATCTTCTAAATTCAAGATATTTTCCAATTAAAATACTTTTAATAAATAGCCCCTCAAAGATAAAAATAAAAAGATAAACAAACAATAGCCCATATAGCCTTCCTGTCAAAAAATGTATAATTATTGGTTGAAGGTTATTTTCTTTTTTTTTTTTTAATGGTACCAGGGATCAAATTCAGGACCTTACACTTGCCAGGCAAGCACTTACTCCACTGAGCTAACTCCCTGGCCAGGCAATTCTCCCAACTAATAAATGGTAAGACTGAGATTCTGAAAGTGAAATGGCTTCACAAAAAGCATGGCATGCACATGTCTCCAAAGTCTCAAAAACTATCCTTTTTAATGCATGGAGCCAGACAATATTGTATTCTATTCTTTCAAATTATAGATGTGTGACAGCTTTTAATATATTTTAACAAAGCATTAATATACATACACATCATTATTTAGCTATTTCTATTTAATAGTTAATATTACCAGCAAGAAAATACACAGTTATAGTGGAAAGGTTGTTATAAATTTAGTATCTTATATTACTGCTTTCTAGATTATGGAAAATGCTATTAAATGAAATTTTTACAAAGTATATCATACAATGAAATGTTCAAAAATACGTATCAAAAGGAATCTCACATAAAATAAAAAACATCCAAAATGTTAAGCTGTGTTTGTAGTGAAAAGGTCATCTGCTCAAATATGATGAAACCTTGTTGAAGAAAGTCAACACCTGTAGGCAGATTAAAGAATCACACATACAGCCAATCAAAACTGCTGTTGCCATGGTTGCAACTGTATTTGGTGCATCACTCATGTTCAGCATGTTTCCCGACATCTGGTTCAGGCTATCTACAGCATATTTAAACATGAAAGGAACGATGATATTCATGGCCTAAAAACATAAGAACATTCATAAATTATCCATCATTTGTAAAATGTTTATTTATATACAAATATGTAACTTAAATTAGATTCATGGTAATTTTTAGATATTAACCATTTACTGATATTGGAACAATGATATTAGAACAATTTCACAAATTTACAAAAATAAAATCTTTAATGTTATGGGGATTTTTCACGTCAGGATTTCTGTATCATACTGTCATGTTAACATTAACTTAAAAGCTATGTGAATTACTCAAATGCTCCTGGTTCTATGAACTCATTTTCTTGGTCATCCACTCAAAAATGTTCTCTCTCTCTCTGGAATCTGCACTTTTACAAAGCTCATGTCATTAAAGGCAAAGAATTATATCATAATTATTTCTGTACGTACTTTCCTTTCCTACTACATTCTTGAGGATCTACATCACATAGCTCTTTTTGTTCCATCCATGTTGAGTATAATGCCCTGTCTATAGTAGGTATTCAATAAATATTTAAGATAATTTGTTCATAAAAATGGTAAACTGAAATTATATGGCAAAAATGATCTCAATACCTGATAAATTACAAATATCTGGGCGAGCCAAACAGCTCAGGGGATTAAAGTGCCTGCAAGCAGGCACAGGGTCCCAGGGATTTGATCCCCCTGGGGCATGCTGAGACAGCAATTGAGACTGGGTGTGGTGGCGCACACCTGTAATCCCAGCTCTTGGGAGGCTGTAAACAGGCGGATCACTACAAGTCCTATCTAGTAGTGAGACACTGAATACCCTGTAGACCCTTCCCTAAAATATAAAACAAAGCAACAAACAAACAAATATCTGAAGTTGACTCACTATTAGAAAACAAAACAAAATTGTAGCTCTATTTGGCCCACAAACTTTCTTTGGTCCGATGCTACATAAAACAAAACCCACTGAATACACCAAAATACATTTTTTCAAAATTAACAGTATAATAATATCATATATACAGGGCAAATATTAAAATCATTCACATCCTATATTTTCTACAGTTATAAAAATCCTCAACCATCATTTAGGAAGAGGTGGTTAGAAAAC